TAATCTTTAGATTTCTTAGCTTTCAATCCCCGAATACCAATCAAATGAAATGTGAATAATCCGTTGACAAGAAGAAGGACATTTTCAGTTATTTGAGCTTGAAACATTATTGTTTTTTTTAATATTGCTATATTTTAGAGTCAAAAATTTATACGAGAAATAAGTAAAATAAATAACTAGAGGTGATTACATCATTAATATTCGACTATGTAAATAAGGCTGGAATCAGAAATAACAATTGTTGGAGCCGAAAGAAATAATAACTTTTTACAGTCTTTTGTGTACTTCCAACTTGGTACTATGTTAATCTAACAATTAGGACAGGGGCAAAGCCAATTTATCTAGTGCGGGCATAATTTTAGATATCGACTACAGTGATTTTTTTAGTCTGATTTTTAGTTCCTGCTGCTGTGGTTGTTGCTTCTTCATCTCACTGTGGTTCCCACTTCCGCTGGTGGTAGTGTCATTCAAAGCAATCGGAGGAGTCATCAATTATTAGAAATTTATGATACAGGACAACAATTTTGACAAGAATCATCCATAAGTGATAAAATACTAAGCCTCCAAAAATTTACAATAGGCAAAGTTAAAGTATAATGATAAACATTTAAAATTTTAAAATTATAAACATGTTAACATTGAAAGTAAATTAACTGTAAACTTTTAAATTGAGCAAATATTGAGAAACAATATTAAATTATAATGGTATACATTTTCACAACTAATGTCTAGTTAATTAAATCTCCATATTTCACAGTGATTGGATTCCCCAACTTTTTTGGAGGACCTTGGGCTATGCTAACTACGGCCACATACATGTAGTCTTGTTCAATTCTCACAACATAGACTTGAAATTTGAGGTCATAAAACCTAAAATAAGAGTCACAATTATTCAAAAATATTACAGCCAAACTTTAGCCTCGGTTTGGTTTTGTTAAAAAATTATTTTTTTACTAACTTTTGATAAAAGTTGATTAAGTCCATCTTTATCCCCATTTTTTAAACTTATTTCTTCAAAACTCATTTCAACTATATATTTTATAAGATCCACAATTTTTCAATCACGCATGAATCAACTTTTATCAAAATATATTGAAAATCTAATTTATTTATTTATTTATTTTACAAAATCAAATAGGGACAAAATATGTGATTGAAAAGTTTATAAACGTTATAAATCACATAAAACGTGTGATTAAAATAAAACTTAAAAGATGATTTAGATTTTTATCAACTTTTTTAATTAAATCAAATAGGGAATTAAAGTGTCTCCCATTGGAGAGAGAAAATTGAAATCAAATTACCTTTCTACCCACGTATTCGCTACTTACTTATAATCCAACAAGATTAATGTTAATATAGATTTTGATAGAATTTTTTTAATTAAATCAAATAGGGGCTCAAGTTCTTCTATTGGAGAGAAAAATAAAATCAAATTGCCTTTCTATTCACAAATTCGCTACTTAATTTATAATCCAAAAAAAAAAAAAATAAGGACAACTTACAAAAATACTCTTAAAATTAGGGAACTTTTGAAAAATCATATGAAAACTTTTTTGAAAGTAAAAAATACTACATAATATTAAAAAGTGACACAATATCACTATTTTATTAAAATTGTGTCATTTTTTAATTTAAAAAAAGTGATATGATGTCACTTTTAAAAATCAAGTGTCATTTTTTATTAAAAAATGACATATAATGTCACTTTTTAATAAAAGTATGAAAAAGTGACATTTGTCAGATAGCAATCAAGAAGGTGACTGAGAAAAAAGTAACAAATACTAAAAAAAAGTGACAAAAATTCAAAAATAAATGACAAATTCAAAAAAGTGATAGAATTTTAAAAAAGTGACGAACTAAAAAAATGACACAAATAAAAAAAGTGACACAGAATAAAAAAAAATGTCAGATTTGAAAAAATGACACAAATTCAAAAGAAAAAAGGGGACACAATTTAGCATTCTTACAACACGACAGTGATTAAGGATTTCAGTCTCAAAAAGTTCACCAAAGTTGAAGAAAATGTTTACAATATATGGAATCATTCAAAAGAGTTGTTCTGAACACTTGGCCAATTTTCCTTTTCTCACTGTAGATTGATCCTTGTTAAAAGCTATTTGGATGTTGCATAATTCAGTGGTGCAAAAGATATGAGTGAGGTAATTTTAGCCTTGTTGGCAGTCGCAGTGTGAAGATTCGATTCCTGATATATGAAATTGGACTCTTTGTGGGTACCAGTGTACGGGCAAGCTATTGTTCTCTGTCCTGTTGGGACACATCCTAAAATTTACCTCCCTCATAATACTCCTAGAACGAGGAGGTGGGAGCCCTCAAAATTGGGATTCAACTTACACACACACACACACACACTTAGATGTTGCAAATTGCATCTCTAGGTATACATCCAAAATCCTAAATAAGGACACGTCCAAAGTTTGTCAGCCACAGAGCTACATTCTCCCATATATTCACTAACTCACCATCGATGAATTACTTTCAATTTAAGATAAGAAAATTCAAGCAAAATGGTGAAACACAAAAAAATACACCTTTAAGTTTTATGAAATCAATACCCTAGCTAACTGGCTTTCTCGAAATAATAGAAATGCATTCAGCACAAAAAAATCGATTACTTCCTCGTCCATTTCATAAAAAAAACCACACAATTGACACGAAACGAAAAGTAGAAATAGTAAGAAAAAACCCAAATGAAGAGAAGGAGAAGTGCCATAGGATCTAAAAGGAACTCGAGAGTGGAGCAAGCGTAGAAGTGGAGAGAGGGGGGATATGGTGTTGATATCCGAAACGATCTCTTCAATAGTCTTTCTTCTCCGCCATGTAGCAGCCTCAAAAGCTTCCTAGAGTTTTGTTTATTTTGCTTTGTTAGAATACGCAAAAATGGCCAATTAGGGGGGATTAGGGCGTATTAATTACTGTTGATAGAAGTTATAATTTATTTTTAAAGTGTATTAATCTAACTTGTACCTTTTCTAGAGTAACCAGCCTAAATTCCTCAAAAAAAAGGCCCAAACAAAATTAAATGGGCCCATATTTGTAGCCCATACGTGAGGCCCGCCTGAAGTTTCAAGAATCTTCTTTTCTCTTCTCCTCCGTTAAAGTGAAAGAAAAACTGACACTCTTCGAACGCGCTCTATCTTTGCCCACCGCAAACAATCTCAGGTACGTGAAAAACCCTTTGCTTTCACCTTATTCGTTTCTTAGATTCTTGCAAATAAATACATATCCATGTATACAATTTTCCAAAATACTAAAATATGCCAAATTGTCTCAGAATAAGTTAAATTGGCAAAATAACAGAGAAACTGCAATTGAATGACAGTATAGATTGTACAGTATAGATTGTTAAATGGGGTATGGATGTTAATTCAACATGTTTAGTATGATTATAATATTTTGTTTACACCTTATGGGTTGAAGTTGATTAGAATAAGCTTTATTTTCGTAGAACTCGGATCATCATCTTTAAAGTTGATATTTCCTGACCATATTTATGTACTTCTTATGTGAGAAAAAAAAATTGTTTATATATATATATGAGAGAGAGAGAGATCGCCAAACTATGCCCTTGTTTGACGACCATTATTTGGCAAAAACATAATCTTGATTAGTAAATTTTTGGAGAATTTGGAATTAAAAAGTATGGAAAATTTTTGGCTATATGTCTGGCAAAGCTAGGAGTGTGATGATACATCTCTACTGATGTGGTGGTTCATCACTGTGGTGGAGTGAGGTGATGTCATAAATGTCGTCACCGCTTGTTTATGACAATTGTCCATGCGCTAGGTGATTAGGTATGTCAAACATGTTAAGCCACATGTTCAAAACTAAGTTTTATAGAAATGGGATCCATTTTAACATTTTAAACTTTTAGATGGGATGATTCAACATTGTATCAGAACATGTAAATGTTTTGAGTTCAAGTCGTGCACACGTGTATATGTGTCATCTATTTAAAGCTTTCAGATGAGTTGGTTCAACATAGTAGGTCCAAGGAATTGCAAGATATGATCAAAAGATACTGAAATTCGTGCCAATAAACCAATTTCTTGAGGGAAATTTTTCAGTGGGTTCCAATTAACTCCTTTCGATTTATTGAACTTTATTCAATTAATGTTAGCGTTGTTGTGTTTATCACCATGATTAATTCACCATGCAAATTTCTTGTTGTCTTGATTCTGTGTCATTCAGCTTCATCATTTATGAGATGATGTACATTTTAGTTCGCTGGCTCCATGGAGGTGAATTTGATTTTAATTCCGAATGTTATCCTATATTGTAAACTTGCTTAATATCAGTAGGCGCAAACAACTCATGCAAAAGACAACTCCAACAACACATGAATCCTTTTTCGATGCTGCATTCAGTTTGGTGTAAACAACAGTACCATATGAAAAAATTCAACAGAATATCAGAAGCTGCCTTTTTTATCATAAATATGTGTGCTGTGTGCATTCCTTGAATGATGATAATTGTTTAGTTCTGCAGATACATAGTTTGTTGAAGAAATAAAGGAACTAGTTGTCACATGCGCGGAGTTGCTACATCACTGCCTTTAGCGAGCAAATTTAGGCCCATCTTCTCTTCTGAAGCAAGATTAGGTAATTGTACATATCTTTTTGCTGCCAACTTTGAATTTTACATATTTACGGCATTTCGAATTTATAATTTGCAAACTTTACAACAGTTGGCACCATGACCCCAAAGAAACAAGTAAATGATGATGCTGGTGAAGCACATATTGAAAAGGATAAGGCTGAACCTATTGCAGCTTTCAGTAGACCACCACCACTGCCTCCTTTCTGGGACCATTGGTTGCTCTCTCGATGCTTGAGTCATGGACTAAACATGATAGTAATGATGATTGACAAGTGTTATGAAGCCTATTCTCTAGTTAGTGTTAACGGTTTGTGAACTATGGCTTGACGAATAAACTTGGTCTATATCCTATCTTGTAGAAAACATACAGCTCAAGTCAATGTATCAAATGCAAACTTTGGAATTGTGATTACAATAAAAGCTGCCCTTTACATGTTAAAAATCTTAACAAGGTACTGAAGTATTTGGAGTGTAAAAGCGAGAATGTAAGCTGCAAAATTTAGTAGTCTGATGTACCATTCCAGTAATGGGCTTATTATGGGCTCTACAGCTATTTTGTAACTCTTTGATAGCAGTTGAAAGATGACATGGGGACTCTTCAAGGACCCTGCGTGGAAAATCATATTCTTTAGATAGAGTTTATTAGTTTATCAGGAAGCATTAACATGTGAGGGAAGTCTACGTACACTCTGTAGCCGCTGGGAATGCATCAAATAGAAAAGTCACCATCTTGAGTAGACTCTAGTTTTCAGAAATTAGGAAAATGAAAATTTGACAAACTTTAAAAAAATGAAAAAATGACGAGTGAAACTAATCAACTACACATCAGTTGAAGGAAGTACCCTAAAACATTTTCTTTGATCAGCTCCTGCTTTAATTTTAAGTTTTGATTCAGCATGTTCATAGGTTCTCACAGCAAATTAAATAGGAAAACAGAGATAAGAATATTTCTAATACCAGTGCTAGACCTCCTAGTTTGATTGGTGACTCGGTAAGAACTCGAGCTTCCCTGCATGTGGTTAGTGAAGCATGTTATGGTTTTCTCTAGCATGGTAAAGCTTAAGCAAGATCAATTTCTTGAGCAATGCTTCTTATTACGTACTTGATGACTATTCTATCTCCATCACTTGCTAGTTTGTAATAGCTGCATCCTCTGGTGAAAGGGACTGTTATCTTGTTCCAATCTGCATTTGCAAGTTTTAAGTTCTCTGTTATAATATGTGTGAACCGATGTATGTGCAAAAAAGAATTTATTCAAGAAAAGTTGACGTGGGAAAGGCAATGTCAAATTTATTCAAGAATATGGAGCAAAAACCTAAGTGCCAATTTGCTCCAGCAGTAGATTCATCCCCTTGCCAGATGTGCTCTACATTGAACTTCATATTCTGACCCATGCAGGCAATTAGCTGATCTAGAAAATGCAGGGCCTCCTGTTGCATGCAAGGAAGAAATTACTGGTACTCGAATAATTATATTACTTTATAAAGGAAAAAACGAAGAAACCTTTTTCCCTTTAAACGGTGTAGGGAATGAGTAATCCTCAAAGAAACAGTCGTTAGCTATTAGCTTGTCGAGTTGTTTCAGATTCTTTCCATTGATAGCAGAGTAGAACTCCATAATTATGTAAGCTGGAGAAACAAAATCTATATCAATATAAGAATCACTGGATGATGCTGCAAATAATTTTAATGGTTTCCATTTGATCTCCTTCGTTGTGAATATCAGTTGTTGGGGCTTCTTAATTTCTGCCTGTTCAAATCGACAGGTTCTTTTCAGTGGCATGGAAGCAGGGCTATGCGTTGCCATTGTTTTGGTCCGTAGATGAGTCTTCCCAGAAACAACCACGGGAAATCCGGTGATAGCAACCATTATAGAAGGGATTACAGTAAGATTTTAGATTATATGATTTCATGCCACAGATCATACATGAAGAGGAATGTAGTAACCTTGGCACAAGGAAAAGGCATGACTTCATGGTCTCTTATCCTTTTTAGGTGAAAGTGCTCATATTTCTTTCTTGACTTCTACTCCTAGAATTGATTCTTTGTACTCAATAGTACATAGACAGTGACTTGTCGTGGAAATTGAGGTAGCCCTCCTGTGTATGAATCAGGCCATAAAATGGTTTAAATCTTTTGCTTATCTATTGCACGACTTGATTTGAAAGCATAAGTTGTTAGTGATGAGTCACATTTATTTATTTAAATTCGATATTCAACAAACTGTTCAGGCCAAAAGAGGAGGAGGAGGATTTCCATATATTGTAGGTGTATATATAGGTTGGAATGGCTTATTTTTGGCGTTGGGTGGATGATGAGAACTGGAAGAATTTGTTGGCATACACAAATAGCAGCAGGCTCCTTCTCTAGGCAGGGCAGTGGGGAGGCATGCCAACTAAATTGTTTTGACCTAGAAGATTCTATCGAAGCGGCTGGTTTTTCAATTAGCGTATTTTTGAAGTGTTAATCATTAGGGAGCAAATAATTAATGATTTGATTTTGTATCAATTAATTCAATTTTACTAAAAATACATGTTAACTAAACTTTTAGTTAAAAATTCAATTTTAGGACAAAATTTATATTCCATTTAAAAAAAAGAATAAAAAATAACTAATTAATTAAATAGGATAAATGAGAAATCCCATCCTGATGAGCAGGGACAGTGGGAGTAAAATTTCAAGTTGGTATTGATTTGAGGGGGAGCAAGGTGGAGACAATAACAAATATTAGATTAGATATGTGAGGCCTGGGCTATATAATTTGAAATAGACAGGCCCAATAAATACTGTCCTATTGAGAAAGAGGAAATTACACCCATACTACTTTTAAAGATCTATGTTCTAAATTTAGGTATCAAGTTTTACTTTTCACAAATCAGATGGGGTAATTAGCACAAAACGTCCCTACCTTTCATGATTTTTGTGGAGAACGTCCTTACCTTTCTTTTTTTGCGCATTTCATCCCTACCTTTACCTTTTCTTGTGCAAAACATCATTTTTATTATTTTTTTCAATAAATGTTATAAAGTGACTAATATACCCTTCTATTTAAAAAAAATAAAGAACTAAATGCAATCGTAGTTTCAAATAAATAAATAAATAAATTTTCCACCTCCACCTCCTCTTTTGAACTTTTTTAAAAATTGGAACTATGATTGCAATTAGTTCTTTATTTTTGTATTTAAATAGAAGGGTATATTAGTCATTTTATAACTTTTAATTGAGAAAAATGATGAAAATGATGTTTTCCACAATAAAAGGTAAAAGTAAGGGTGAAATGCGCCAAAAAAATCGAAAGGTATGGACGTTTTGTACTAATTATCCAATCAGATGTGTCATATTTAAATATTACAATTTTCATATTTAAATATTAAACATTAAATATACAATTTTTTCATCTCAAATCCTAATCAATTTTCCCCTCATTTCTCTATCTATATTTCGCTCTTCCCTTTCTCTCTCTTGTATTCCCACGTTGTTGTTGTCCCTCACGCTCTAAGATTTGAACGTTGCTACAATTGGTGGTGCTGCCGCTCACGACGCTTGCTACTGGTGTTGACTACCTCCACTCTCCAACAGCCACTCCTCCAATGCCAAACCCTGATCTGGTTATGTTGGTTTGTGGTGTTTTGCCGCTCTTCTTCGGTTTTTGTGGTGGTTTCGATGGTGATGTGCAGCATATTTTGTGGCGATTTTCTCGGTGGTAGTGCAAGCGGTGTTAGTGTGTGGAGGTGGCGGTGGCAACAAGTTTGTGGATTTTTTGGTAGCATATTTTGTGATTTTTTTTGGTGGTGGTGTAGGCGATGTTAGTGCAATGGTGGTAGCGAGTGTGGATTTTTTGGTAAGGGTGGTGGTTGTGGTGTTGTGTAGATGAAGATAGAGGAGATGGCTGCAGCGGTGGCGGTGGTTGTATGCTGTGTGTGCGGTGGTGCTGTGGTGGTTTTGTAGGTGCTGTGGTGGCGAGGCATCGGATCTGGAGGTGGTTTGTAACTAATTATTTGGGTGCAGTGGTGTTAAATCGGTGGTAGATATGGTGGTGGGGTGGCTTTTTGTCGGTGGAGATAGTGGTGGTGAATCTGGCATGAATGTGTTGATGGGTGGTGGTTTTTGTTGTTGAAAATGATGGTTTGTTGGTGGTTGTTGTGGTGAGATGGCGCTCGATGTGTTGTGGGCAGTGGTGAGGAGGTGGTCACAAGCTTTCACAAATTATTTAATTGAGTGTAACCATTAAATTAGTTAATCTGTGATCAATAAATAATATGTGGTCAATGCAAAAGATGAATTGTGACCAAGAAATTGTTAGAATTTTGTTGGAATTTTTGTATTATTTGGTGAATGGAAAATTAAGTCAAATTTAAATCACTTAAATACGTGAATTATTGAAAATGTGCGTAGAATATTATGAAATATTTTAGAAATTATTTGGCTGAAAATGTGTCTTTTTATATGAAAGATTATGACTTTTGACATTATTATTTTTCAAGAGACGTGCTCTTTAAATATAGAGATCAATTTCAATAATTGTGTTTCTTCCATAGGTTGTGTCTTTTGAGACAAACATTTTTAACATCTATATGTTGACCCCACATGTTTGGATTTATTCATTCAGAAATTTCATTCCATTCCATATTTTACACTTTGTTATGCATAAAACACTTTGTAGAAGTAATTATCTTTTGCATCAAAATCATGATTATGGGAGACAGGGAATTTCGTTCGAGTTCGTTGGTCGAAATCATTTGGAATGCTCATATGGCTTGACGTAGTCGTTGTATCTTGGGAGATGATTGCTGGAAAATCGTTAACATTGATGCGGGGCAAATTCATCTTAAGGACCAAGTGTCAAACATTTATCTCGATCAAAAATTTATCACTTGCATCTTTCTTCCTTCATTTTCTGATTTCTCTTAATTATAATTTGATTTCAGAAACTAAATAACATTATTTACATGTTTGTTCTGCGAGGTTTGATTCAAATAATAACTTGCTTTCATGCAAAAGTCAAAAGAGATGAATCCATATTCATGCATTCGGATTTGGTAATTTTTATGTTTTGCTTCTCAAATTCTATGTTGGTAAGTGAAAATGACGTTTCGATTTCATGCAAATAAACGGTATGCCTTTGTGAATATAATATGCACGTAATCGGTGTATTCTCCAACAATTTTAAGATGAAACTGTTTTTGTGCATTTTATATTTTGTTAAGTTACATGGCTTGATTATGTGATTTGATAACATATAAAATCTATTTTGTATGCCTGACTATGGAATTGTACATGTATGCATGTGTGAGATTTAAATTTGTTATTGCATGAGTTATTTACTATTCACACCATTTTAACAGTTATGCTCCATTGGGTATTATTTTGATTAAGTCTTATTCATTCACGTATCGGTTGAATACCAAGAATTCAGTTTGTTTCAAAGATTTAATTATGAAGGGCTTGAGTTCTTTTGTCTTCAAGCCATGGCAGTTTAATTTTCAAAGCATTATGTCTATTCCTTTTTTTATAATATGGTGAATGATATGTGAATATATGCTTACATGAAATTATACATTGAGAGAATAATGATATTAAAATATTCTCTAATTTGGGTTTGTTAAAATGCAACATATTCGAGATTCAAGATAATGAATAACTTTGGTCTTGTTTTACCTTATGTTGACACTTCTTTGTATGAATGGTTGTACTCAAATCAACGGCCATTAGTGGCAGAAGGCTGCGAAACCAAATTTAATTTCTTCCATCATTCTTTATTTAACAACGGGTTTTGAAACACGTGGGTGACCAATTTTCATCTGTGTTGGCTGTTGCTATTGGTTTTGGAAGTGCATGGTGCAGTTCCGACCATTGTTTAATTTAATCGTGGTAGTGGCAATTCTTGTTGTGATGATGAGATTGCAATATCATCTCTTATAATATGGAAGTGCACAGACTCTCTTGAGACATTGACATTCCTATAGATGGAATACATTTATACAATGGATATATAAAGAAATGGATATCGTTGGGGTTAATTCTAGCCAAACAACGATTGGATAGAAAGGAGAAAAACAATTCCTGATGTTTGGAAGGATGCCACTAATTGTGAAAGTATATGAACTTTCATGACTATTCTTTTATTGGAATATGAAATATGACATGATAAATTAGTTGGTTAAATTTTCATATCTTGTTGAAATTATACTAACTTTAATTAATGTTGATAGCTTCATTTAATCCTATAGAATTAAGTGAGATGACTTTTATGCCAGTTATATTTACATAAAGTATGACAAATTGTGATTTGTTCTAGTAGAAATTGTTGCGAAAATATTAAGACATGAAAATACTTTGTAGAGCACAATCTGTGTCTAAAGTTGGCAATGGTGCTGAACTTCCTTTAAATCTGGAAAAATTTGAATGTGATGATTTAATTAAATTTTTGACTTCAATAAAATTAAATGGGATGATTTATGGAAAATTATATTTACATAAGAATATGACAAGATGTAATTTGTCCTAATTTGATTACTTGGATTTGGTGGAAAATTGTGTAGAGGATCAATTTAGATGAAAATGTGCGTCGTTTCATATGAAAAATCATGACTTTTGATATAACTATTTTCCAACAGATATGTTTCTTCATAGAGATTATTTCAAGAGGTGTGTCCTTTTGTAAGGTTATGTCTCTTGAGAATACAACTTTTAAACCGATGGTTAAAATGAAACTATCATGTAAAATGTCACAAATGTGATAAGTTGCATATGTTTAAAGAAGTTGCAATGTTTAACCCTTTTTATTGTTAAATTTGACTTCAATCATGAAACCAATTAAGTTGCTATATGTTTTGAAAGCATTGTTGGTCCATGTGATGGTCTTGATTTAATTAAAATAATTGGATTGAAATACGTTATATGCAACTTTAATTGAAATAAATTATGAGTCAATGACCACTATTTTGAAAGTGCTTAGACTTTCACGACGCACTCGATACGAATATTATCTAAGAGAAAAATGAATTGAACTATAAAAGAGTTGCTGAATCCTAAATTCAATTGTAACCCAAAGATGTGGTGGGTTATTATAAATGCTTATGAACTTGAATGAAAAGTTCAAAATTTGTGGATGCAACATTACTAGATTGCATATGTATTACTAATTGAGGAATTGTGGGGATAACTCAGTTT